CATACTTAAACAAACATTTCCTATCCTAAGACTTGTAATCTCTCTATTTCTTACTGTATGCTTATGGTTTTGTTTATTTTTATATGTAAATATTTGATTCACTTGAAATTGCTTTGATCTAAGATGTGAAAATGGCTTCAAATAAATTTTTGTTTTTTAGTTGGTTGTTTTTCTAACATTTGTGAAGTAATTTGTTTTTCCTCGGCAATTTAGAATAGCAGTATTATCATATACTATATTTTTATATATTTTGTGTCAATTTCTTGACTTTCTATTCTGTTCCATTGATATATCTATAGACATATGCTATTAGTATATGTTTTAATCATTACAATTAATATATTCTAGTATCTAAAGGGTTGAGTCCCTCTCACTGCCAGATAAATTTTTAAAGTAACACCATAATTTGTTTCCCATTATATTGGGTCATCAGAAAAGTTATGATGCATAGAAAAATATGTCATAACTTTTCCAACAGATCCAATATTTATAACATATATCTTTATATAATAAGTTTTTTCTCCTGTTGCCTAACCCCAGGTATAGTATTAGGATGTTGATAAATTCTAAAACAGTACAATACAAGTTTAGCTGAGATAGAGGAACAGGCTTCCCATGATTACCAATTAATGTATTTTGCTTTACAAGTGAAATCTGATGAAAGAGAACATCTTTAGAAGCAAATATATTCCTTGTACTTGTTTGTTAGAAGGGAGAGAGTGCTGTAAGTACAGAGAGTGAGCTTCCCCAAACCATGGAGCACGTGGCACAATGAAATTAATGGAGGGCAGACGGATGACTTCAGTTTCCGTGGTTTTTACACTCTAGATTAACTGTATGGGGAATAGAACTTTAGAAGTTAAACCAGTTAGAGAAAGCAGACAGCTATTCTCTTTTTCTCACCATAGCTTTATGAAAATGAATTTTTAAACGTCTTTTCTTTGCATTGGCCTTCTTGGCAAGAAATAAAGTCTGTATAAAGCATTACCTCTGAGTTTTTTCCTTAAAGAGCTCAAGGATAGACATATGGGTAATAGTTTAAAAATATAAATACGGTCTTTCCAGTCATAGAAACCTTCCGATCCAAGAGGCGTTTTTCCCGCTTTCTAAAAAAAAAAAAAAAGTGGAACTGTAGACTCATACCCATAAAGCACCAAGCAAAATACATGGTATGGGACACTAAAAAAACCCACGAGCCTTTTCTTGATTATTGCTGCCCTGTGATCAGACAGGGTGACTTCTAGTCACATCTAGACGCCAAGTTTCTGTGCCACCTTCTAGCCACCAAGCCCTGTAACTAAGCATTTTTGTCTGGTGAAATTACAGAAGAGATGATGTTTGGTGATAATTTGTTCTATTTTAGTGCCTGTAGTTCATCTAGGAAAATGACTCTCACTTGGTTTTCTCACGTAACTTATTCCGTTTGTCTATCTGCATGTGTGCCTAGGGAGAGATGTGTGCTTACAGCGTCATGGTAGAAACGATGATCTATCCCACCCCACCTCACCTCCCACCCCACCCCCCACTTGTAGACCATCCTGACTTCTAAGAGTTTATCAGGTCCACACCAGGGGAGATTTGACACTTTCTGGTTTGTGCACACAGATAGGTTGGCAGTTTGGAATTTATGAAGGCTCTGTTAGGAAAAGCCACTGCCAATATGGGATTAGTTTTGAAAAAAGTTCTGTCTGAACAGATCTGCAGCCTTCTTTTTTTACCAAGCACGCAAATAGGAGGAATCTTTAAAAAGTTCGTGGAAAATATGTATTACAAGAAAACTCTACAAACTCGTTGTGTGTGTGTCAAAGTAAAGCCATATTTTAATTCCATTTTCCATGAGCTTTTTTGAAGTCCCCACATTGGAACAGCATCAACCTTAATGGGGTAAGAATTATAGAAAGTAATATAAAATAAGGGCTCCAAATAGAAGTGGCATAGTCAACCTTGTCATGATGGTCCATGTCAGATGTCATTCATGGAGATAATTATATCTTTATGAAGTGGGGAATCGTGGCAGACTTGCCAAATTTTCCTGGTAGAATGTAAGTCCTTCAAAGGTAAAGACATTTCTTACTCATCTTTATATTTCCAGTGCAGTGCCTGGTATTTGATGTTTAGCGAATGAGTAAATGAATGTGTGAAACTCATTCCTTGTTAAGATTGTGTGAAATAAAGAGGTAAAATCGTTCCTGGAGGCAGAGTATGTGTCTGTGTGTCCATCCTCGCTGCCCTCTTTAGTCGAGGACATCTTTTCCTCCAGTGATCTTTAATCAAGTAGGCGAGAGAGGTTTGCAATCTTTGCTAAATGAGTGGATAGAGAATTACAGCAGTGGACAGCAAAGCCCCTCCTCCCACTCAATTTTCTTTTGTTTTGTTTTTATTATTTTGTTTTGTTTTGTTTTATTATTATTTTGAGAGAGAAAGAGAACCCCCAACAGGCTGGATGCTGTGACACACTCCCAGCCTCAGCCAGCCCTTGGTCATGAGCACACACATGTCCAGCATATGCAGGGAGGTCTCCAGACTTGAAGCTGGCACCCTTCCATGTGGGTCAGCTTCACAGTGCATTCTGCACCACTGTCGAGTGTACTGGGGAGCACATTCAATTTTAAATTCTTTTGTGTTGAGTAGGGACAAATGGTAGAAGAGAACATTTTTAGAGCATTGGGACTAAATTAGCTATAACCAGAAGAAATCAAATAAGGAAATATTTAGAAATAAGTATTTAAGAATGCCATCAAGGCTGTTACTGCATTTGAGATACCTCACTGAGCCTGGCATATCTTATTTTTATATTACCATAGTAATAACCCATTAAAAAATCCCCATACATACATTTACCATTAGGTTATAAAGCCTATATTAAATTCAAGGTTTCTAAGCACTTTTTATTTTTTTTTAAAAAAGTATGTATTTATATCTTTTCAAAGAGAGAGAAAGAGATAGTGGCCCTTCACAGGGTCCTTCTAAGCAGTGACCTCCCCTTCCCCTCAGCCTTACAGCCAGCCAAGATCACTTGTGTGCCCAGTGTGTTCAGGTCAGCCCAGGATCCAAACCAGGGGCCTTCTCGATGCTTCAGTATCATTTGTATCCCCCTACTGCTTGTGTCATTGCAATTAGGTCCCCCGTTTCTTTGTTTTAAGCAAAGATAATGACTATATATTAATTTTTTTTCTCGAACGAAGCAGGTTTGAATTTTAGAACTAGATTGGATCTTATAGCTTAGGAAATTAAGTAATTTTCATTCTGTGACACAGATAAAACTAGGGCTTTGGGTTTCTGATACCCAAAAAATTTGTGCTCTGGGAGCATTTGATCTCAGGAGATTTTAAAAATTTGGATATGATCTCAGAATACTTAAAGAATCTGATGCATAGTGTATGAAGGATCTTAAACTGTGGTGCATGTGTCAAATCCAGTCAGTTTTTGTACATAAAGATTTATGGGAACACAGTCACACCCATGTATTTGTGTGTTGTCTATGGTGCTTCAATGGCAGAATGAGTAATTGTTTCAAAGGCCATGCTACCTGCAAAGCCTCAAATATTTATTAGCTGGACCTTTTCAGAAAAACTTTTTTTTTTTTTTTGAGAGGTTTTTCACTATAGGGCGCATGTGCTCACCAGACAGACAGAGAGAGACAGAAAGCGAGAAATCATCCCCCATGGGGGATGGTCATGCCGCAATCCCTTCTCCTCCATTCTCCTCTCGGGATCTTGGGCACGCACGCACATGCGCCTGCGTGAGTTTTAAGCCACCGGGTCCGGGACGCGAACCGCGGTCGACCACGTGGGAGTCCAGCGACATAGACTAGGGCTTTGGGTTTCTGATACCCAAAAAATTTGTGCTCTGGGAGCATTTGATCTCAGGAGATTTTAAAAATTTGGATATGATCTCAGAATACTTAAAGAATCTGATGCATAGTGTATGAAGGATCTTAAACTGTGGTGCATGTGTCAAATCCAGTCAGTTTTTGTACATAAAGATTTATGGGAACACAGTCACACCCATGTATTTGTGTGTTGTCTATGGTGCTTCAATGGCAGAATGAGTAATTGTTTCAAAGGCCATGCTACCTGCAAAGCCTCAAATATTTATTAGCTGGACCTTTTCAGAAAAACTTTTTTTTTTTTTTTGAGAGGTTTTTCACTATAGGGCGCATGTGCTCACCAGACAGACAGAGAGAGACAGAAAGCGAGAAATCATCCCCCATGGGGGATGGTCATGCCGCAATCCCTTCTCCTCCATTCTCCTCTCGGGATCTTGGGCACGCACGCACATGCGCCTGCGTGAGTTTTAAGCCACCGGGTCCGGGACGCGAACCGCGGTCGACCACGTGGGAGTCCAGCGACATAGCCATTACACTAACTGCTGGTTCCCGAAAAACTTTTTCAATCCTTTAGGTTTCATCCGTAGGATGAAATATTACCTTAAAAAATTAACACTATTGAGGCAAGTCTCAGTTCATAGCACATAGTGATTAAATGCTGTGTGGAAGGAGCTATATCTCACATCACTGATGGTGGTTCAAATCCTGACTTCCTCTCCCATATGGAATCTGAAAGATATGCCTGGCATGCATGCTGGAGACCCTGATGGGACTGTGGAATGGAGGAGGGTTGCATTGTGAACAGGCCCCAAATGGGAGGGGAGAGGAACTTCCTCTCTCTCTTTCTCTCTAGCATGTAGACTCTCTGGCATTAAGAAATTGAAGTTTGTAATAGTGAGTAAAATATGCTTTCTGAAAAAGCCTAGATAATTGTCAAGAGATAGAAATGATCTGTCTATAAGAGACAGAAAAATCTGCTTGTATTAAAAATGAAGAACTGAGTTTCTAAAGAATCTCTAAGCTCGTGGACTCAGAGATTTACTTGCCACAGTGAAGGAAGCCTGTGGCTTAAGTAGCACTGACTCAAGATGGGAAAAACCTCAACTCGTCATTTCTGCCATGGTAATTCTGACGGAACTTAACATTCACTCAGTGTCCTCCTTCTTGGCAGGTGGAGTGGATCCAACAGCAAGTTGTAAAAAAACGGACAAAGAGGGATTATGACCTCGGTCGTGCCCAGTCTACCTACTTCAATGATCCCAAGTGGCCAAGCATGTGGTATATGGTGAGTTTGCTAAGGAAGCCTATTGGGGCCAGGTCATCCAGTTTTGTTTTGTGTGGGAATGTCTGCTACACTGGGGAGACAGAGACATAGTGACCAAGGACTTTGTCCTGTTTGAGCACCTGCCATTTGAGATTAGTTAATGGCCTGTGATGTTTTCTGGATCTTTTATGAACTTAGCTCTTTGCTTTTAAGGAGAAGGAGAAGGAAACTCTAATTCACAGAAATTCTATTTGAAAGCTTACTTTGTAAAGAACTTTCTTAGTTTCTGAGCTTTCTGAGTTTCTAAGTTTCTAAACTTTCTACGTTTGGGCCAGAGGATGGAAAAATATCGTAAGCCGCAGATTGCCTAGACCTATCAATGTATCGTGTTAGCTTCTGATATACTCCAGACTAATCTGGTTAGTGGATGCTTGTTTTTGGAAATCGTTGAAACAACTCTGCTGGCTGGTAACAAACTCCTGGTATATGTCCTCCACTGTTTGCCTCTCACTTTAGGTAATAGTTTTTAAAAGTAGACCATAAAAAAATGAGTTGGAAAGTGTTTGACTTATAACTAGTTCGGTGTTCAAGCAAAAGATTTTACAGTGAGAGAAATTTACCACGTTGGGCAGAATGCTCTTCCAGTTCGCTTGACATTGCCTGCTTTGAAAACACACTTCCTTAGGCTATTAAGTTCATGATCATTGAGAAATGGATTCAAGTAAGTTACTTTTTCTTAATCGTGAAATGTAGTAGGTTGTCAGAAAAGTCATGATGTATTTTTGCATAGAAAAACATGAAAAAAATACATCATGACTTCTCTCTCTCTCTCTGTTTTTAAAAGAGAGGTGCTATGGGTCATATGTGCTCGCCGAAAAGACAGAGAGATAGAAAGTGAGAAATCACCTTCTGCAGGGATGGCCACACCACAACCCCTTCTCCTCCATTCCTCTTTGGATCTTGGACACGCATGCACACATGTCCCGTGTGAGTTTAAGCCTTCAGATCCAGGACTCGCACCGCGGTCACCTAGGTGGAAGTCCAGTGACATAACCATTATGCCATCTGCTGGTCCCACGTCATGATTTTTCTGATGACCCAACATATATCACTGATTTGCTCTACATATAATATGTAAAAAGCCCTTTCTTTTCCTTTCCTTTTTCTCAAAGATAATATACTGCTAAACACCACCAGTTTACATTCCATTACACTATTTTATTGTTTGCAATCTCCATCCCTCCTTCTCTGCAGAATGTCTCCAGACTAAAGGAAGGAGATGAATCCATAGCATTCCTATAGCTGCCTCATGCTCACCTGGCTTCTTGTCTGTCATTCCCATTCCGTCTTGCTCTCCCTGCCCTTCCTCACCTCCCATCTTCAGAGCCCACACCACAACTGGCTGCCCTGGGAAGTCACCTCCATGTCCTCATCTGTTGTCATTTCCATTCCTGTGGTATCCTGAGCCCTCTGCCCTGCTGTTCATGGCGTCAGTCACTTGGCACTTTGTAGTCTACTTGTTGGTTTTGTATTTAAACTTCTCTGTTAGACTGAGGGAGAGCGCTTGAATGCATGTTGTGCATCTTTTCGGTTTTGTTTGTTTCTTTGTTTGTTTTTTACACCCCCTCCCCCGCCCAAGAACCTAACCCAGCACCTTGCAATGCTGGGAATTTGTGTTTAGTTGGAGGTGGATGAATATGGAAGCGTGAATATATTTCTTCTGATTTCCTTTTTGTGGGTCCTAGCCATGATATATTTTGGACCCTAAACAGAATTTCACATACAAAAAAGCTCTCCCATGTTTAAGGGGGAAAAAAGAGGGAGCCATAACACTAAGTCAAGGAGAAGCGGGAGTCTAAACATCTTTTAAATAGGAATCACCTGGGGCGACAGGAAGACCTATGATAGCTGATTAGCTCTAAGTCCAAGAGAGAGCCAGCCAAAGGGAAAGCATGGAGTAAGTGTTGGCAGGAGCTAAGGAGTTTGGTCAGCACTGACAAAATGGTAAGAATGCAGTGGGACTAAGAGCCAGGATGGAAGTAGGCCAGCCACCGTGGTGCAGTGGTAATGCCATTCTCCATGATGCTGTGGCCTTATGGGAAGTCCTAAGTTTGTATCCTGAGGTCCCCCTGTGCATACCAGGTAAGCTCGTATGTGCCCATGGTATGGATCTCTCTTTCTCTTTCTGTCTCCCTCTCTCATGGAAGAAATAAGTAAATACACATTAAAAAATACAGAAATAGGATGAAAGCAAAAATGCCTCTATTACCACTATTTATAAAATGAGGGTGAGGGAGACCTACCTTACCTTATGTTTCCTTCTTGCAGGAAAGAGCCAGATTGCTGACTGCTCATGTCCCAGTGGATGATGGACATTTATGGCAGCCTGCCCTGCTGTTCTCATTGCTTTAGCAGGGTAGGCTGGGCCCTCAGAGGAACCAAGGCTGAGGCCTTTGCACCTCGGCTAGCCTGGTGACTGAGGGTCTCAGTGCCTACAAAGTGAGATCTCTTTACTCTAAAGAACCACAGTTGTTTTTGTTGTTGTTGTTATTCTTTTTTGTTTCTTTTTTTTTTTCTTGGAATTTCTCTTTCTGACATTAGGAATGACTGAGAGAAGTGCTTTTGCTTGGTCAGTTAAATGTTGGATGTTTTAGGACACCTAACTGATAATAATAATTCAAATAGGCAGCATTTATTGAGCACTTTTCTAATGAAGTGTGATAAAGCACACATTGAATATTGGTCCTGTGTTAAAGTAGAAATCCAGGGGCCATCAGGTGGTGTGGTAGTTAAGGCACCTGGATTTCACACAGCCAAGTGCTAGATGGTGTCACAGACTGTTATGTGTGCTTGTGTTAGGTGCACATGCTTGTCCACAATCCAGATGGAGAATGGAGGAGAGGAGACTGTGGCATGACCGTCCTCCCTGGCGTGAGTGGGGGAGCAGTGATTTCTCACCTTCCTTCCTTCTTTATTTCTCTCCAGTCAGCACATGTACCCTGTAGCAAACATGAAGGAAGAAAAGAAGGAAGGAAGAAGAAAAGGAAGGAAGGAAAGAAGGAAGGAGGGAGGGAAGGAAGAAAGAGAGAGAGAGAAAGATAGAGAGATGGAATCTGAGGCTCATGAAACTTAGGTAACTCGCTTAAGATCACTGAGCCTGAGAGAGACAGAATGGAGAAACCCAAGCTGGCAGGGCATGCCAGAGCCCACAGGTCTAGCCTGGAATCTCATTCTCACCTTTTAACTATTCACAAATATGAGTAGAAGACACTATCCCTGTCCACTAGGAGTGATAATATTTCCACAGTAAAATGACAAAAACCTGAGCCAGTAAATAGGGTGCCAGATAGGAAGAACAAAATATCTTAGGGCTAACCAGAGCACTTCGAAGATGTTAGATGATTACTTTTCCTGTAACTAGAGAGATGGGAGCTAGGTTACGTTTCTTACATCTGTCTGTTAGGAGTACTATTTCAGAAGGAGAGTTGGGACTCTGCACACCTGGATCCAAGTCCCCATTGATTCACTTAGTATATGTGGTTGACATTAAACTGTCAACTGCAGCATATGAATATCTAGCTCTTAAGTATGAGGTAACTATTGCTGTACAACAAAATACCATCTAACTTAGGTGTTTATTTTTCATTTCCTTCATGGGAGAGAGAAGGAGAGATACAAGGATCCTCAGCAGGGCCTCATGCTGCAATTTCTTTTCCCCCTGCTTTCCCAGCAGCCAGGACCCTGGCTGTGCTCACTGGACATACAGACAGGTTGGTCAGGGAACCAGACACCCAGTCTCCCATATGGATCCAGCAACTCTTGAGCAGCACATTACCACTCTGCGGCTGAGCCCTCCCACAGAAATTATTTTTAAAACAACAATTACTTCATGGGTTCTGCAGATCAGGAATGCAGACAGGGTCCAGTGATGATAGCTTTTCTCTGTCCTGTGATGTCTGGGGCGTCAGCTGGAAGACTCAAAGGCTAGATGAGAGTGGAAAGGTCTACTCCCAAGGTGGTCAAGTCATGTGGCTAGCAAACTGACTCCTCACCTCAGGGCTGCTTGCATGTCCACTTGCTATGGCACTGGCATCCCCCAGGCAAGGGAACCAAGAGGTTGTGTTAGAAGTGGTGACGTGTTTTACGATCTCATCTCAGAGGTTACAGACAGCTATTACCACTGTAGTCTTCTATTGGTCACATGTGTCAGCGCCGATTCAGTGTGGAAGGAGACTACACAGGGGGCCATGTACTAGGAGGTGAGGATTGTTGGAAGCCATCTGGGAGGCTGCCTACCACAGTGAAGTGAAATATTGCCTAAGAAGTCTTGAGCACACTGCCCGACACTAGAAATTTTCGCCCTCGATAAATCAGAGTGGTTATTATTCTCTGACTTCTTAATTATAATATAAGCTGTTTCCTTTTTAGTCATTGAATAAATTGCTACTAGTCAAAAAAGGGTGAGATCCATGCCCATTCCTCAGAGCACATTTGGTAACACGTTACTGACAGAGCCGAGGCAAGGTGCTGCTTTCCTTCTTCCTTCTTCTGAGCCCCACGCCCCACTGCAGTGCTTTTGACCTCCATAGGTCCTGCCTTCAGCTCATTAGCCTGGGCCCGTTTCTGTCATTCTATATTTATCACAGGAGAATGGAGATTAAAGAATGGCATGAAGTGTGCCTGAGTGTCTCTTTTAATTAGTTTAAAAGCTTTGCCCATGTTGCTCCTCCCCTTGGAAACTGGTGTGCGAAACCATTATGTCTAGCCTTGAGGCTTGGGCAGTATATTCAGGGAAATGTGCATTCATGAGAGTTTATTATGGAGATGATGGCTGTGTAATTACTCTTCCGTCCTGACATAACTGTGTTGAAGTTTCCAAGAGCTAGAGGGCCCAGTCCTGGAAATACAACTCATTTCTGGCTTAATTGACAAACTTCTACATCTCTTCTTTGTTAAGCATGGTGCCAAGCACTGAACGTTTAGAAAACTTGATTCCTACCCCCTAAGAAGAAGGAAGTCAT